TCAAACGAGGTTTGGCAAACAACCCTTGCCAATAAGCAAACGAGATTTTACTACGGCTATCTCAACCGTTTACAACCGAAGATTTTAAGGCTATCTTCAACCTTACAATGAGGATTTAAAGGCTATCCACACCTTTTACAAATCAATAAAAGATTGGTGTTGCTTCTCTACCAAAATAATAACAAATATGAATTGGGTAGGAGAAGAACAAAAGATTAAATCAACAACAACAAAAGCCTATAGGCAAGATATAAAATAATGAAGCACATATGCCCTTGTGTGTGAGTGTATAAAAAGATGAAAGCTTTTTTTTCAAAGGAGTAAAAAAAATAAGAACAAAGCTTTAAGAACACTCAAGAATTAGAGAAAGAGGCTTTAGATTTAATTGAGAAGTTGTTGTGCCTAAAATGAGACTTAGAGGGGGTTTATATAGGAGTTTGGAATGTTAAAATTTGAGTTTTTAACGTTAAATGCCGTTAGGAAGTGATTAGGAGTGTTTAAATTTAAATTGGTAATTTGCTACAGTGCTGCCAACGGATCCGGTACCCTTCACGGTAGGGTCAGTACCGTCCAGTACCTAGGTACCGTGAAACACGGTACAGCCTACCATTAGGGGGTACCGTGTAAGCCATAGAATTGGTTCGGCTCTGGCGGTATCTGGGTTCAAATGGTCTGGCCAACCTTCCCAAGCCTACCGACGGTACCCAGGTACCGTTGTCACGGTAGGGGGGTACCGTGTACCACCCAGGTGAAACGTACAACGGTACGTTCACTTGGCTACCGGTGGTACCCTGGTGCCGTGTACACGGTAGCCAGGTATCGTTAGACCTGTGTAAAAAACCAAAACTCGTTTTTCGTGTTCCGTTTTCAAAATAACCCCAACTAAGAGTATATTTGTTATTTTAAAATTAAATTTTGAGTGAAAGGGCATAAGTAACTCATTAAAATATATCATTACCTTTACAAAACAATTTCTAAACTCGTAGGAGTATATCTCGGTGATGCTAAACAAGCTAATAGAGGTTTTGGCGTTTGGTTTAATCCTGCAAATGATGTTAGTAGCATTGGAAGACTTATTTGGCACATTAAAATGGTTACGGGGTACGACATTCAAGGCCAACAATCTCCCCCTTTTTGATGTTGACAAATAAGGCTTTCGAATATAATAATCAAACGCACAAGCATATCATGAAAAGCATATATTGATTTTAAAAACTCCCCCTAAGTTGATGCATGTGATATTTTAACAAAAACTCCCCCTAAATGTATGCATATGAAAGCCTAATATTTCTC